AGGATAGAATAGAATAGAAATAAGAATGGAATGAAATAGAATAGAGTAGAATACAATAGAACAGAAATAGAACTAGAACAGAACATAATAGAATTAGAACAAGAATAGATTAGAATAGAATAGAAATAGAAATAGAACAGAATAGGATTAGAACAAGATTAGACTAGATTAGGTTAGAATAGGAATAGAACAGGAATAGAACAGAATACAACCGAGAATGGAATAGAATAGAATTAAATGGAATAGAATTAGAACAGAACAGAACAGGAATTCTTTCTGGGCCAAGTGTGATTGGACCCACAAGGACTTGGTCTCTTGTGCATAAGCTCTCAGGGTGCACACATATAACAAATAAATGGTAAAGTCATGAGATACCAGCAGGAGAAGGTGGTAGGAAAGATGAGATATGAGGTGATCATAGCAACACAGCCTGCTACATACAGTAGGTAAATTTCTTAGGCCTAAGACAGTGTTATGGGAATTAAAGATGGGAGCTTAATAAAGAGAGATCCAATCTAGAATGAAGGAGGAAGTTCCTGTCTGTGGCAGGGACACCATTGGATGCACAGGACAGGCCCATCCATCTGCCCTCCCCTTCCCCCAATTCAGAAATACAGATAACCAATTTTCCAAATCTGAGCAGAACTTACTGGAGGAGAAGCAAACCGGCAGGAGGGAGAGCTACCACAGGATCCGCCAGAGACTGACCCAGCAGGTGCTGGAACAGGTACAGGACAAGCTGAATGGAGGGGGAAAAAAAGGGCAGAAATGACACCACAGACAGGTGGGCTGCAAAACATGAACAATGTCAAAAGGCCAATCATCACTCTGCCCAGGGGTATCTGGGCAGGTGCATGCCTCCAGGACCTGAAAAAGGTGGGCTGCAGTCTAGGTGAGGGGTCTCCAAACTTAACCACTTTAAAAGTTTTGGACTACAACTCCCAGAGTTCCCTAGCCAGACACATGGACTTCAACTCCCAGAGTTCCCTAGCCAGACACATGGACTAATTC